TCTTTCCGAATCCTCTTGCACTGTCCTCATTTTGACACCCAAACAATCTGAAATGTTCGTATTTGAGCGTCCGGTGCGAATGCCAAGCCGTACATCATGCCGTTTCCAAATTTCTGGCGGAGTGAATTGCGTTATGGCGCTCGTTTGCCATAAAGGGTACCCAACCGACCCAACTATACTGTGCAGTCGACAAAATCAAAAACAATCAATGTGCATGCGAGAAATTAAAAAATATTAAATGGCGACAATTTACCCATCGCATCTGTATCACTCTTATTCTGTTCATATCTATATATTTCTCTCTTTCGGTATGTTTATCATGCACTGTCTATGTATCTCTCATTTTGTTAATATCTATCTATATATCTATCACGCTGATAATATCTATTTCAGTTTATTTTTCTATAGCTATCTTTTTCTATTTCTTTATATCTATCAATATATCTGTCTATCGCAGTCTCTCTCTCCCTCTCTCTCTCTCTCCCTCTCTCTCTCTCTCTCTCTCTCTCTCTCTATATATATATATATATATATATATATATATATATATATATATATATATATATATATATAATAAAAAGGCTTTAACACTAATATCCTTATTCTGTCCCGGACATTGAGTTCTACCTGGATTCTATCCTCTTTGATTTATTTTTAATACAAATATATATGTATGTGTATGTATGTATGTATGTATGTATGTATGTATGTATATATATTTATATATTTTAGATATATGATTGCATATGTATGTGTATATTTACCACTATTATATATATATATATATATATATATATATATATATATATATATCAGTCTATCTCAGTCAATTTATTTCTATCTCTCTCAGTCTATTTCTATTTCTATCTATCTATCTATCTATCTATCTATTTCTATTTCTCTCTTCACATCTCCTGTATATTTATCTACTACTGTTTCTTTCCATTCTCTCTCTCTTTCTATATATATATATATATATATATATATATATATATATATATATATATCCGTATGATCACATTTATCTATTACAGTCTGTTCATTCTATCTATCTATCTATCTATCTATCTATCTATCTATCTATCTATCTCAGTCTATTTTTTTATATCTATCAATCTGTCTCTTACTTTATATGTATCTATCCTAGTCTTTTCATTATCTATTTATCTATCTCACATCTCTTTCTTTCTTTCTTTATATATATATATATGTGTGTGTGTGTGTGTGTGTGTGTGTGTGTGTGTGTGTGTGTGTCTTTCTGCTGTCCCATGTGAAAACATTGTTTGAACTTTTCTTCCAGAATCGATGCTCATGTACAACTGCAGACAAGATTTTCAATTCCCTATTTTCCCCAATGATTACTGCCCTGTCCATCATTGCCCTCTCACCTCGTCTTCACCCTAAGACCATTTGTCATTCGTATCATCTTAATTTTCATCCATTTCTCATTTATTTCTCCATTCCTTCAGTTTGTTTCCTATTTTTTTGCTGCTTTTTCTTCCAACTCCTCCATTCATTCCAGTATATTTTTTTTAATTTTTTATCATAAATACCATATTCTCTACAAATTCTTCTTTTGATTATTATTATTATTATTATTATTATTATCTTTCGATTTCTGCTATGGTCACACTACCCACGAGAAGACCTAAGGCAGATAATGGTGTGTTGTTATGGCTACATTTCATGATTTGTTTTTCTAACTCCAATAACATCTTTAGCGTTACGTGGACAAAATTCTTCTTTGTGTGTGGACTATTATTATTATTATTATTATTATTATTATTATTATTATTATTATCTTTCGATATCGGCTATGGTCACACTACCTTCCAAGTCTGCGGAAAGACCTAAGGCAGATAATGGTGTGTTGTTATGGCAACATTTCATGATTTGTTTTTCTAACTCCCATAACATCACTAGCGTTAAATGAACAAAGTTCTTCTTAGTGTGTGGACTGTACTTATCAAGACATTTTTGTTTGTATTCATCTTAAGCTGGGTTTTATTGAATGTACTATTGTGTTCCTTTTTTATCATTCCAAGCACACCTTCTATGATTGGTACTACTCTTTTTTTTCAATGTACAGATTTTTTTATTTCAATTTCCAGGTCCTTATAGTTGGTTTTTCAAATTCCTTGGTTGCTATGCTACAGTCCGCTGCGCAAGTCATATCAATTAGTAGGCAATTTTTTTTCGGTTTTGACATTTATGTCCAGCTTGTTTGCTTCAATCTTCCTGTCTTTAAAAATGGTGCAATCCCATAGAACTGTGAGGTCTTCTCTTTCTGTAACCGGTTCTGGATGATGTTCATACCAATGTTTATTAACATATTTTCAAAAGTGCTTGCACATAGCCCAGTGCAAATATTGTCCCAGTCTATCGTGATGATTTTTATATTCATTTGGAGCAAGTACAGAAAATCCTGAGATTAGATGGTTTATGGTTTCCTGATATCTGTCACAGAACCTGCATTTTGGATCCATACTATTATGTATGATATTTGCCTGAAAGTTTCTATTGAAAAGACTCTGGTCTTGTGCTGCAAGAATAAAGCCTTCCGTTTCAGCCTTTAATCCAGATGGCCGTAACCATCGATGAATGTTAACTTTTATCAACATCGGCTTTATAAGCCTCGTTCTGGATATTAGCCATGTAAAGCTTTGTCTTTCCAACGTTGTTTCATCTGTTCAAGAGATTTATCTTTGACTTTCATTTTTCATAATTTTTGCTGCAACAATTGGTTCTTGGGTACTGTTTTGGTTTTCTACAGAATCTACTGAATGTAAATCTCGTTTGTATTTACAGCCTTCTTTCATGCTTGAATATGTTTTCTTTCTGTGTTGCTTGATTAATTGTATCACCCACTTGTGGCTTCCATATATGTTAGTAAACTAATAGTTATTATTATTATTATTATTATTATTATTATTATTTCCTTTGATTTCTGCTGCATGCTCATTTCCTTCCTTGTCAACACTAAAGAGACCTAATGTTAGAAATGGCGTCATAACATTGTGAAAAAAATAAAAATAAAACAGCTTAAGAACACACCCATTTTACATAGATAAAACCCTTTGCAAGGTGTGAGATGTACTTGTGAGGACAATTTTTTGTATTTCTTTAAGCCATGGGCTACCAGGAATACTTTCAATTCGTCTATCGGAACGTTTTCCAGTCAATCCGAGCGCCTCAACTACAACTGGAATTATTGATGTCCTTATGTGCCATATTTATTTAGATTTTCACTTCAAGATCCTTGTATTTTGTCCTATTATTATTATTATTATTATTATTATTAGTAGT